TGTTGCATAATCGCAAGATCATATAAATGGCTCAACTTCAATTTATAACCCGAGCATATTTTTCAACCAAGCCGAAAAAGCTGCAAGAGCACACAAAACATGGGAAAGGACTTCTGTAGAGTGTCCTTTTTGTGGAGGAGCAACACCAAATAAATCAACAACCAGCGAAAGCGAAACCATTTCAGGGGGTTCTTCTTTGGAGTCGGGAGTTCTCGGAGCCCTTAACATTTGGGATATATTTGTGTGGGCGTACTAGGCCATTTCTCTTTTCGTTTTCGTGACGACAGGGAAACTGCGAACGAGGAATTAACAAAACGGGGGAAAATGGAAAAATGGAAAAATGGAAAAGGAAAACAAATCGTGCCATGTGTGTGTCATACTTTTGGGCTTCCGTTTGTTCTTTATTCTTATTCCTTTATTCTACCATTTCGGCTCCTTTAGCATTAAAATTGCCCGCTTATGAACCGCAAAATGCTGCGCTACCCAATAAATCAATATTATTTATGCAAAACGAGCACGCCAAAGGTTTTTTTTGGTCCGGCTTGTGGCCCGCTTTTCCGATTTTCCAATCGTATCGGGGTGTGCTTGAACTAGTTTTATTCCGTTTTGTTCCGGCCCTGCAGCACCTGACACAAAAAAAGATGGCGGGAGCTGTATATGTATGTGTATGTCTGTACGTAGTTCTTACCAAACTACAGATTTCTCACAGTGTACTCTGATGTCTGGCCTGCAATCTTGGGATAAGCGAAAAACTCAACGGCTATGTAATAAGAAGGTTAATGAATATAAGCATTCTCTTCAGCCTCACATTATGTAATTCACACACCTACCGCACACTCACGTGCTGTTTAGAGACCAAGAGCGGTGGACACAAAAATGGGATCACAATAATAAATATCTAAGAAATATACATTCTACAGAAGATATAATTTTTTTAAGTGAAAAGGTTTAGGTTAGGTTATGAAAAAGGTTTTTTGGTTTTAAAAAAAATTACTTTAGGTATGCTACTTATTTTTAAATAGGGCAGTGAAGTCATTCTCATTTTATTTTAGCTTAATCTTGTATTTGGTCAATGCATTGTGAATTTGTAACTTTCACATTAAATGGTTGATTTTTTAAATTTCCCATTAATTGTATTTTTAAATGTTTCGATGTAACAAAGCTTTTTTTTTATTATCTGTAAATGTTCCATAAAAATGTGATTTCCGTATGGTATGATCATTGTCAACTAGGACGTTGACCGCTGCTGTGCGGGCGTATCAGAGTCTGAGTGCGTGTTTGCATGAATATATGAATGAACACAGCCAGCTGAGCTGAGTCAAGTTGAGTTGTGTCGAGTCCATTGTTAAACACTGGGGTACTCCTCGATGCGGTTATATATATGCAGATGTGCGGGCTTGTGCTCCCAGCTTGTTTGTGCTGTCAGAATGTTTGACTTTGTATAATAAAAAGGCCTCTTTAAAAACATTAGCAACTTTTGTAGTGCATAAACGCCTGCTACATGTACTCCAACCTCCCCAATGCCACTCCCACTGACACACACAGACAACTAAACATCTAAACAGCCGGCCAAAACGATGCCACCTGCTACTTAACTATGCGTACTACACGGAGGGAAATTTTAAAAGTAAAAAGAAATTGAAATTTACTTTTTGCTTGACACTTTTATAAACAAAATAAAATTAATTAAGTACTTTGGAAATCTCAAGGAAATGAAACCCGTTTTCTCAATTTGTATTTCACTTTTTAGTTTAAGTTTGGATAGACAAGTCTTACTCACATGACTATAAGTTGAAAAACTCAACGCTTTGTTAACATAAAATAGTCTGGTTTCCGAGCTGAAACTAGGTCTGTTAGTTTTTTTTGAATGGTGATTTTTCCAATCTAAACCACGATTAACAAGTAAAACGGTTATCAAAATTGTGTAAAATTGTTACTTATAATGTAAGCATTTCTTGGTGTTTTATTAAGAAGAAAATTGAACAAAAAAATTGTCAATCAGATAGTAAACCTTTTTTTTTAATCTGTACATACTCTAGAAATTATTTAAACCATTATTATACCATTATTTTCTCCTTATTGAATATTTGTTAAGATTTTTAATTTGTTTATTTCATATGCTAAGAAGAATGTTTCATATATTGTATTTTATATTTGGATATTTATTTTTATCCTCAATAAGCTTTCTTTGATTTATTGGTTTTTATATTATAAAAAAGGGTAATTTGATTTAAAATAAATGATTTGCTCTATTCCAAACTAACAACAAATGTTTTTGTCAGCGCATAAACGTTTATTAGTGCCCTGGGCTCTTTGGCAATGGCTGCCATGGGCAAACATAGAACCCACTGAACGCCTTCACCTTCCCTCTTTCGTGTTGGAGACCACAAAGCCCATGGCTAAATCATATTAGAGGCGTCCTCCGCTTGGCCACCGGCTTAACGCTCTGGAGGAGCCTTTTAACGCCTTCTGCCTCTCGCGTTCCATTTTTGTTTGGTGCAATGGAAAAAATGTCAGTCGAGAGAATTCCAGGCGGATGCGCCAGTTGGGCGGACTTAAAAGCAGAGGACACGGAATAAATGTTACACGGAATGCGAGCGTGAAAAGGCGGGGGCTTGGGGGCGGTGACAGAGACAGGGACAACTCCAAATGCCACTCAAAAAATGCGCATCACAGACACACAATTATGTTTAGACCATTATCATATTTAAAATGGCGGTGATAAGGGGCACTCGCAGAAGGCTTATCACTAAAAAAAATATTACAAATCTTATTAAATGTGTACTATATGTTTTACTGGGAACTCAAAAGTAATATAATGACAATTCTTGAACATATTATAAGGCAGGTAATAGATGGCTTTCATGTTCGTTTTATTTTAATATCACTTGAACCCTTTGATTTTAGTTTAAAAAATAATAGAAATATTTAAAGCTAATTAGGCAATAACAAAAAAAAAGTTTTAGTTCAGTTTTTTTTGTAAATGACCAGAGTTATTGAAAAAGGTCCCCAATGAAATTTCTTTGAATTGATTTTCGGTTGGCACCCCCCCCCCCCCAATGACACAATTAGTGATCATTTTTCTGTATGCAAGAGGGGGTGTTGTGAAAAATGTGCCACCATCGATATAGACCATGTTTTCAGGCCAATCTCGTCCCATTTCCACTCTCGTTCCCAATCAAAACCCATCCTGCATTCAATTTGCAAATTTGCTGTGTCCCTTCCCGCGTCAAATGTCACTTTGGTTTCATTTTCATTTGCATTGTCCGAAAGCCCAAACCACTACTACCCAGATTTCTCCATGGGTAATATTTAAATTCCTGATGCCATTTACACATGTTCAACATGACATAATCGCCTGTGAAATTATTTAGAAAGAAATTGGGTCTGGGTCCGTCAGGCGTTTGCCACCACCGCATCACCCTAAAATCAGAACTTGGACATGTGTGTCTATATCTATAACCACGTTTTAAGTCTCTGCTCGGGGCCCGGAAAATTACATCTCAGGGATTTGATAATAAACTAATTTTCGCTCGGCTTCTCCAGCTGCCAGCAGCTTTCTCTTTTATTCATGAATACGCAATTAGTGTGCAAATTCAAGTGTTTCTCGTGTGTTGACCGGCTATTTGAATAAATACATTTCCTATCTATGTATTATTGAAACAAAATTCGTTTGGAGTAAAATGTCCAGTTTTGTAGTCGACTTTCATTGAATCGCTTGACATTTTCTGTGTTGGCAGTCTGCCAATTGCGAGCCCGCCGAAAATGTAAGCAATTATTGTTTAATTTTCAACTCAAAACATGCTCGTGTTTTTGTGTCGGGTCATATCATAAATTTGTTCAACAATTTCATTTGAACTGGTCAAACAAATCGGTTTCTGAGTGGAAAAACTTTGTTTGTGTTTGATTTTACACGGAACGAAACTATCTGAATATCAATAAATAAGAAAACTGTCCTTAAGTCAAGACAAAAATGACAAAATTGATTTTTAAACTTGATGTAAACATGAATTCGATAAGAATTCGTATTTATTATTATTGTTATTATTATAGCCAAAACTGTCGAAGGTGCAAACTCGATTTTTTAACAACCCTGTCATTTAGAAGTGATTAATTTCTTGAAACCTATTTATATTTCAATTTTATTTAATTAACATTCGCAAGAAACAACAAGACTATGATAATTTATTCTAATCTGATTTATTGGCTTTTTGTTGTTTAATTAACATTCGCAAGAAACAACAAGACTATGATAATTTATTCTAATCTGATTTATTGGCTTTTTGTTGCATTTTCCTTTCACTTGAAAATAAATTACTCACAGAATTTGATTATTTAACAGGTATTGTTTAACAAACATTTTATCAAATTTCAGAAATTGTATCTTAGCATTTATTTTAGCTTATACCCTAAATGTTAAAGTTATCCTAATACGTATATTATTTTATTTCAAGATGTAATTTTCGATTTCTCTCATTAAAACGAAATTTGAAATCCGAAAGTTGCTTTATGGAGATAAAATCTTTAATTTGTTTGTGTAGGTATAACTAAAGGTCTTGAAAATAAAATGTTAAAGAAAACGAATAATTATATGCCATCCAACTTAACACTATTTTACAAGATGTTTCAAGCTTGACGCTTAATTAAGAGGCACAGATCCAAATTTTCCGTTCCGCACAGCTGCATACATTTTTCGAAATTCATTGACTTTTACACTCGGGCCGATTGAACATACACCCCAGTTAAATTGGCCAAATCATATCATGTCTTGTCATATAAGTTGTGAAGGATTTATGATACCTTATCGAGCACATCGAGCGTGGGCCCCCGGCAATACATTTTAACTAATTAGCGTTACAACTCAATTGGAAATGCATGGAGCTCCCAAGCCAACGCCTCGACGTGCTGGTCTAATAACCGGGGGGCTAATCACTATAAAGATTATTATTAATCCCACCGACAACTAATTGGCTTTGTATCTGCGCTTGTTTTGCTTTCAGTTCTTCACACCTCGGCGAGTTTAGCGTTAAACGAAAGCTGGGATCCAGACGTCAGGTGAGTTGTTGGCTATATACGCAATGTATCCTATCTTAACAATTGCCTTGCAGAGACGACATGGAGATGATGTTGAATAAAATAGTTCCCGAAGGCTTGCCCTACAGGCATTCGTGTGAGGGTCCCGACGATATGGTGAGTATTCGGGTGCATCGTCTCTCTTTGATTTTGGGCAAAGCAGCATCCTTTTTTTTCATTAATGATACAAAAAACACCATTTAACAAGAAAGGAAGCAAATTTCGGCAAGCCAGTGTTTATATACCCTTATAGCTATTGCAAAAAAAAAATCCTCTTGTGCCATGGGTGCTATATGAAAACGGCTTGTCCGATTTTAATGAAATTTAAAGCGAAACTCTGAAATATTTGACCATTACTAAATTTCTAAGATCTAAAAAAAATTAAAAACCGGCAAAGTTATAATTTTGTTCATTTAATTTACCGATTGTTACAAAGGGAGCTATATGCTATAGTCGTAGTAGTAGTTCTTTGACATAAAGTAATAGTTAAATATTTTAGAATTACGGTTTAAATTTCATCAAAATCGGACGACTATATCATTTAGCTCCCATAGAATCAATCGGGAAAATAAATGAAAACAAATTTTAAATTTGCTGTTTAAAAATTTTTTTTTAGTTCTTCGACATAATAGTAATGCTTAAATTTGAAGCTTAATTATTTGATAGTTCCTATGGCAGCAATTTTAACAAAATTAAAAGCGTAATTCCAAACTGACAAATTATTAATAAGTCAAAAAGATTAAAAAAAAAAAAACTAAATAAAAAAGTTAGATTTCCTTCCTTTCTCGTTTTTCACTGTCTCTAGTTTGTGTCTAGAGTGTATTAAAAACACACACTTATAACTAAACTTTCTTGTTATTTTGGGTGTACAACTAAAAATGTTTAAAAAGAGGCCTACTAAGCAACTTAATCCAATTGCAGCCCGCGCACGTGAAGGCCTGTTTCCTGGGCAGCTCCCTGACAATCCCGATAACCGATGGCAAACTGTCGCTGGGCACGTGGCAGGGCGTCTGGCTGTGCGAGCACCGTGACCAGGCGGGATCCAGGAAGCTGGTGATCACGCTGACCGGATGTCCGCGCGAACAGGCCCGCAGTCCGCTGTCACCCGTCTCGCCGATCGCCAGCACGTCCAGTTAGGGGCGGCCTCGCTCCACCCGCGACAGCCGGTAATCGCGGGGGAGCGACAATAATGCCATCATTTCGTCGAGGCGGCTGATACTGCAGAAGAACTTGGCTAAGGCGACGGCCCAGCAGCGGGCGGCGGCGGTGATTGCCGCCGGCAGGGGAGGATTGGGTGGGCGCATTGGACAGCAGGATGCACTGGCGCCACCCAGCATTCCCGGATTTGTGGAGACGAAGACCGGCCGCCTGCTGCTCCGCCAGCAGCTGCATCTCAATCTCAACCTGAACGTGCAGGAAACGCTGCGCGATGGCGTCGATATCGATGATGTGGACGAGGATGTCGACGAGGACGAGGACGAGAATCTAGAAACCGTCACAACAGTGCCTCTTAACAATGAACAACTTAATGCTAAGGTCACAACCACAACCACATCCAGTTCATCAGCAGCGAGCAGTGCGTTAGCTAAATTCAATCGCATCATTGACTCCACTCTGGAGCGGCCAGCGGATTATGCCACCAGTCTGCCCAAGTTGAGTAGCGCCACCTTGCAGCAGCGCTTCAACCTGGCCTATCCGGAGTTGGTGACCCAACAGCAACAGCAACAGCAGTTGCAGCCACATCAGCAACATCAGCAACAGTATAGTTTAGAACAGCAAATTGGTAAGTTGCAAGTTAGTTCACTGTTACTCGGTAATATTCATACATCACAAATTAAGAATTGTTGAGATATTTGCTCTATTACTTTTCTAGATAAATAAATAAATTTGCACTCTGGTACAAAAATTAAATAGTAAAATAAAATATATGGCCATTGATTTGAAATTTTCGTATTTCCGAATAAATTATTTATAAAATCATATTATTAAATAAAACGCACACAAAAATTGCTGGATTTAATAGTAAATTATTTGTATTATTGTAAAAAGTCATGAGCTTTAGCTTTGGAGCTGACTTCATTTAAGATAAATAATAATCTAAATAATTTTCAGACAACGTTTTTTTTAGTAAATCACTCGCTTCTTGTACTAAAGTTTGACTTAATCATGTGATCTGCTTAAATCTTTATCTAGTAAAAATTAATGTTCAGCTATTCCAACAATTTTCTTTTATAATGAGAATATTGTCAAAAGAGAGTTTTAAAATTAATTTAACTTTAACTTTTAAGACCTTATATTTTTTTTAATAATTTTTTTATTTAAGAATACCGTTAAAAGCAGATCAAATAAATTGTTAAATATAAAATGAAAATGTTTAACAAGTTCAAATCAAGTTTAACTGCGATACAGCTTACTGTATAAACAAGCATTGGTTTTTTTTTCTAATCCCTTGAAATAATGTTTCTTGAAGGTATGGGTCACCAGCAACAGCAGCAACAGCAGCAGCAGCAACATCTGCAGCTGCAACAGCAGCAGCAACATGATGCGACCAAGCAGATCAGCAGCCTCCAGGGGAACCCCAGATTGGATCGTGGAACGGGCGCCGTTGCCAACAGCACTCCATTAACACTACAAGCACCCAAAACTGCAGCAACGGCGACGGAGGAGCAACAACAGCTGGATCCGGGGAATCCCCAAGGCGACGAAGACGACGTCGTCGAAGAAGATGATCATCCCCACCACGACGAGGATAATCAAACGAAACGAAATGATGTGCATTATTTGTTGAAACAGTTGAATAGTTTTAGTGATATAGAAGAAATAGAAATTGTTGATATGAAGCAAAGAGGTCAGCGTCCGCCGATGGCGTCCAGTTCGTTGGCAACAATGATGCCGCCGCCATCGCCGGCCCCTCTGGCCTCGCCATCCACGCAGTCCCATCGACTGGGTCCGCGGTTCGCCTCCTTGGGCGCCTCCATGGGCGAGGATAGCTCGCTGCTCCTGCCGCACCAGCAGCACCAGTTCGACGACTACCTGTTCGAGTCCTGCCACTACCTGGAGACAAACTACTTTGCCGCCACCTACCGCACTGCCATGGTCGAGAGCAGCTCCCACGAGTTCCGGCCCTCGACCAACAGCAGCTCGAACAGCTTCGAGCTACACGAGATGGAGCCGCCCAGTGTTATCTGCAAGGCGGGAGCACCCGCTCCATCACCCCTGGTCACCAGACATCCCGGTCATCCTGGTCATCCCCCGCCGCGGTACCAATTCGAGTATCAGGCGGAGACCCGACTGACCACCAGTGGCGTGCAGACAGAGCTCACCGTCGAATCGCTGGCCAAGATGAGCAACTGCAGCGCGAGCAGCTCCTCCTCCCAGTCGACAAGGGCTCCCCCCTTCTTCCGGTGCTGCTACACGCCCATCGATCGCTGGCGGGAAAGGAGGCAGCAGCAGAAGAGCTCCCCCGCCGCCCAGCCGCCCAAGGACGTCTGACACTGGGCGTGGCAGTCCACTCGGAGATCCAACATGTGCCTGGCTAATTTACATCGGGGATGCAAGCCGGGGAAAACTGGGATGGGTTCGCAACTTACAGACATGGTTCGGTTCATTTAGTTATTATTATATATTATTTCGGAAAAATTCAACAACTAATTTAAACCCCTTTTGAATTCCAGTCAAGTAGTTCCAACTAATATTTTACAAATTTAAATTAAAATCTGTAGACATAGTTAAAACCTAAAACCTTTTTCTTTAATTCCAAAAAATTAATTTTAAGATTATAAATATTTTTGATTCTTGGCCAAATAACATAATCTTATATTAATATTAATATCTGTAATATATATTCATTCACTACTAATTTGCTTTATTTATCAATTTATCTTTTTAATCTTTTCAATTAACAAGATTTTATTACTTTAAAACCAAGATCGAAATGAACTGAACCAATAGCCTTTATAAAATGACAAAATTAAAACTAAAACGGTTTGCATCCCTGTTATTTTGGTCGCTGTTCTCATTTGCGATATCAACAAGAGATTCCATTTCGATCGACAGTCGATACACGAATCATGAATCCCTAATCATGCGAAGAAACTTCATTATTGTACAATTTATATATGCTAAAACGTAAACAAGAAATGTTAGTCAACCATTTTTTATGTACACACCAGCAACACACACAGACACTCGCACATTTTTGCAATACACCAAAGTAAATGATTTGGAAATTTGTATAAATATATGAGAGTTGTTAAATGTTTAGCAGAAAACTTTGATTTCTGCCAAACTACTTATTCCAATTGAATTTAACACTTTTCCGGGACCTTGAGACGCCCTTCTATTGGCAATTAGCTAAATTCTCTGCTAAGCATTTAAGCATTAAGCTAGACTCAACCTAGACCTAAAGTTGTATTCGAAAATGTTTCAACAGAGGAAAATATTGTTAAAATTTATTGAAAACGTAGTCAAGGACGAGGGCAGGGGACGACGCGAGAGCTTGTATAGTAAGTTGATAAATAAAGTAATTGAGAATCATGTTGATAGGGGTCACATCAAATAGATGAAAGCCGCGCACGCCGGCACTTTTGTTCTTTTTTAGATTCTAGATTCTAGATTTCTTTTGCTTTACCTGGTCCGTTGGTCTGTCTATAAATTCAGCATTCAACTTAGGAAATTATCAGCGTGCGCGTGCGTTCACCAATCCCCAAAAACGGATAGAAAAAAAAAAAAACAAAAAACAAAAGCAATTGTTAATGCGTTAAGACACTATTCTGTTGACCAATCATTTAACCACTGGTTTTCTCGTTTCGTTTCGAAAGTTAGAAGCTTTTAAGGAATTGTTGTTAGAGCACAAGAGATACTGGCTATACAAGCAAACCAAAAAGATACGAAACTATCCAACTCTTAAACCAACCAAGAGCAATATTAGTTTTAAATCAGTTCGGATTTGTCAATTTTGTTGAGAACATATGCAAGTAAAATACAAATACATCAAATATATCACTAACTTGAATAAGCCTTGAGATCACGCTTTGGTTTTTCGGAAAATAAATATATATACGCAATTGGAACACCATCTGAAACTGAATTTATTTCGCCCACAAGAAAATCAAATTTCCGCTGTTCAACAATGAACACTGAGACACGTCTGGTTTCAGGATCTTCAGCTGAGTTCTTCCAACAGCAAGTGCAATCTGAATGGGAGAATCGCCACAACAAATGAAAACCAAACAAATGCCTTTTACATGCCCACACCAAGTACACTAAAACAAAAAAATTAAAGAAAATAGTAACCCGAAAATGGTAATCATTGTTAGTCAATAATGCGCTGAGCAACATGCAAATGTCTGTAAATCACACGCGAAGCGAACTAATTTACTTCAAATATACATATATCTCCACGTTGATTATGTTAATCATTAACGAATGGCATAACAAATAAGTTGTTAACAAACGGGCTAATAGCGTTAGAGGATTACCTATTGTTGTATGTTTTATTCGAAGCGCACGAAATTAAAAAAAAAAAAACCATTAAAGTAATCGCTAAGAAAGGCGAAACCAAAACCCAAAAACAACGTAGCTAAAGTGAAATTTTTGTAAATTTTTTGATATGTGATGATGATTTGGATAAACTAGAGCCACAGAGAAAAGAATAATTACCTTAACCTAGCCATAGATATTTAATCAAATTAAAATGAGTAGCGCAAATGCCAGTGAGCAAAACCCAAGGAAAGCTAGCTAAATTCGAAAATTCTAAAAAAGGATAACCGGAAGCATAAGTGGCCAGTTGTTATGCAATAATCGTAGTCTCGGCCAGCCGAAGCACCAATCAGGGTTCCTTCCGGCGGCAGGATAATATATATATATATACACATATTAAGTATATATATTTAGATCCGATCCAGTGGGAACTGTTATTAGCAATATTGAATACTCAAGGGCAATTCAATTGTGTATTAACGACATGGATAAATGGATAAATCTGAATAGCGAACGCATTGTAGGAGCCTAGTTAAAGAACCCCCAGATGAGATATGAACTCAACATGATCAGATTGAAATGAATACTAAGTGTAACTAAGCGAGTAAGTAGAAAATATTCAATTGTACATAGGACTTCATTTACAATCACTTGATTTGTTTGACTGGACAATTTTGTTTGATTCAGACAATTTATGTGTTACCCAAGGAGGAATGTTAGGGGGAGATATATTACCGACACACGAGTAATCACACATGAAAAAGCTTTAATTAATTTAATTACCGAAATGATAAAACAAGAGAACGTACTACGAAATGTATTTAACAATAATCATTTTTGATATCATTCCCATTGGTAACGGATTCCATTGTAGATACCTATTGAGCAGCCAGTAATTTATTAACTAGTCCGCTAAGTCGTCAATGTCGCCTATTGTGAGTTCTATATATTGCATCAGATAATACAATAACAGAGCATATAAGCTGTAAAACCAAACAAACAAGGCAACTAGTTAAAAAACAGAACCGAAAAACGGCCTAAAACACTTGAAAAAAAACCATATACAAAAATACACACCAGACCACACCACACCACAACACACACCAACACACACAACTCGAACACTAAGCTTTTATAAAACTATTTAACAAAAATATATATATACTATGGAAAATAATAATCCTGCCAAGTAAAATTCGAATACCTGCTTGAAGAAGATACACCCGCTTTTGCTAAGAAAACGAAACAAAATAAAACAAAACAAAACAAAGATTTAATAAAGAAGAAAAAACGAAACGAAACCAAAATAGAGACAAGATCTAGAAGAGACACTATGGCTAAATACGATTTTTATACTTTCGATAAAATGATTTTTTATACTAAACGTAAAAACTCTTTGAAACGGAACACGCGCAAGTTGCGAACTTTTTGGGGTATCGATTTCAGAATCACTTTGATTTGAGTCAAGGAAAATAAAAGTCATATTATAGTTATATATATAGATACATATATATATATAATATCCGTACATTATATATGTAAAACCCTAACTGCAACTATGGAACGAGAGCACAAATTTTGTTGAACAAATGGACATGGCCGCAAAAGCAGAAAAGTGGAAAACAAAAATCAAATACTGACAAAACAGAAAAAAAATCGTTTTTTAAGTCCAATTCTCAACACACATACTCAAACACTTACACCGACACAGACACACACACACACCCACATGCAGCAACATAAAAAAAATATATACTAAATATATAAACATGTATGTATATATTTAGCTAACAAGTAAATAAACAACACCCGCACAAATCGCTCACCTAAACGAATTACGAATTAAATATGCTTTGTATTCTCAAAAAGCGAAAAACCGAAAACATGATCCGCAGTTAGCAAAACAAATCTCTAACAAAAATGTCCACAAATTTAGCCTACGACAGCGATTTTTGTATGAGCAAAAAATTTGTAAATATATATTTCTTGATTTTATCGAAAAAAATAAAACACAAGAATCATTCGACAACTTTAGTTTTATCCTAATTGCAACCGAAAAAAAAAACACTTTTTTCTATATCTACCCAGATATCGAAGTACATAAGCGAGAGCATACTTTAAATGGAAAATTATACCAAAAGTAATGAACAATGTCAACTACAATAAATTAGCAATGTGGAGGCGGCAGGAAAGTGAATGAAATTAAATATTAGTGCAATAATTAACAAATTATTCGGTATAATTAAAATGGAATACATCTAAGTAAACGCTTTGTAAAATACATATAAACAATTTATTAAATGAAAAAATGAAAAATGGAAAACAATAAAAAACGAATAAAACCAAGAGGAAAATGAAACACTATTGAGTAATAAAAAGCGTTATGCATTGACATTGACACACGTGATTCGATATCTCATCTTATAAGCATAAATCAATAAGATAACAATAAAGAAAAATTAAAGAAAATGCAAATTGAGGCTCTCTCTATACTCCTTTAGGTTTGTGCTACTTAACAAATTACATTTATTTAACATTAAAATTGGCATTGTTTTGTGTTTAAATTTTACAGTTACCGCATGGGATTTTGAAGTCAAGAAGTTCTTAAGTTAAGTTCTCCTTAAACAGGAAACACTAGAAATTACGGCTGCTGCATGACAGTGCGAACATATTTAAGGACATCTGGATTGGACAGGATATGCATATGGTCAACGCCCTGGAGGGCCAATGTGTTTATCGGAGAGCTGGTATAACCCGCCCAATATTGGCAGGCTCGCAAAGAGCGTTGATTTACAGTGCCATCGCCCAGACCCATTATAAGCTTGGGCGTTTCCCCGGCAATAGCCGACTTTTTGTACTGCAATCTGTTGGTTTAAGCAAGCGTTAGTTTGGTTTTCTTTCCACACAAATATCTAAAGCTTACCTCTCCACCGTGGCTATGCCATCGCCATACAGACAATGCAGCTCCACATCGGGTGGACTAAAGTTTCGGCTGTATTTAATCGTATCCTTGCGCATTTCCCAGCCCGTCATGTAGTCTATATCGTTGAAGAACTCCTTGAGCTGTGCCATTGTATAGTTTCTGCTCGGGGTCGTGGCCAGAACCTCCGATGGCTTCCAGAAGAGCGGCGACGGCAGAAGCCAAGCTGTGGATGGATGTGATATCTGCTCGGCCTTGAGGATCTTGGCACTCAGAGCAAACGAGTCGAGATCGTCGCCCATGGCGAACACCTTCACTGCCTTAAAGCTGCCAGCCCAAGCTCCAGCCAGACTTATCATCCTTTTTATGTATTTAGCCTTCCACACGACGGTCTGCTGCTGCAAGAACACGAGGGTCATTGGACTGCCCATGCTGTGCGTGATAAAGGTGACGGCCGACTGATTGTTGGCCTCGTAGGTGTCCTCCACCAGTTGCTTGAGATCGATGAAGAATTGCTTGTTCTCGTCTGTCACAAAAAATTATATTACAGAATTATCACACTTGTCTGTATTTTATTTATATTTTTAATACTTTGGGCATTTTCAATTTTTTTTAAGAAATATCCACTTTTTTTAAAGTAGGGCAAAAAATCTGTTCAGAGTTCTCAAATTTGTTATTCCCTTGCAGAGAATATTATAATTTCAGCATCACTAGGAGAGTCGATCTAGCCATGTCCATCTGTTCTTCAGTTCGTCGTTTGTCCATTTTTGCGCAAACTAAGCTTAAACTAAAATCAGTTTTAAAGCTTGAAAAGCATTAAACTTTCCCAAAAGTTGTCGCATAATAGGATAAAAAAATATAAAACAAAATTATTTATATATTTTGTTAGTTTTTCAGAACTACGGTTTGAATTTCATCAAAATCGGACGACTGATTCATATATCTACGTTGGAAACAAGCAAAACATTAAAAAAAAAAATTATTGTATAAAAAAAAATAAATAATCTATTTTTAAATTTTTTTAAGAAAATTCTTTTTGGCATAGTAATAATTAAATATTTTATAATTACGCTTTTAATTATTCAAATCGGCAAACGATATCATATGGCAAATAAATGCAAAATATGCTAATATATTTTATTGACAAATTTAATTCCACTTGTAAAGTATAAGAAAGGGACTAATAAAAAATAGTTTTTGATTTTTTTTAAAACAAAATCAACAAAGATCATTTTGTCAAGTGATGAAAGTGAGTCAGTGAATAGAGTAAATTAAGTGACATACGAACGTGAAATGCCGAAAATAAAAAAAAGGCTTTATAATTGATTTAAAAAATGTAATTTGTATCACTTGTGAAAAAAGGTAAATATTTGTTTGCACCATGCCTTATTGTTCAATTTAAAGTATGTTCTAATGAATAATACGTTGAGACCTTTAAAATAAAACGTATACGCATATAAATCGAAATTTACATGTTTTCAAGAACATTTTGTTTTTAAAATAGCTGCAAGGGTATACAAACTTCGCCTTGCCGAAGTTTATTCCTTTCTTGTCTATATTTTAATTTAATTAATAAACATTATTGAATTTATTGATACCTAATGCATTTTTAAATTTTTTGTATGAATTTATCAGTTAATATACAATAATAAATACGATTTTAATACCCTCTGCAAGGGTATACAAAATGTTCACTATCTATAAAATGAACTTACTCGGCGCTTTGCGGAAGTCGTAGGGTGCTCCATGGATGTTCAGTTTGCGCACATAGCCCAGATCCACTAGCACATTGGCGATGTCTTTGAAGTAGGCTCCGGCACTGTTTTTGGTTGGATCGATCCACTCGACGACCTCCGGATCGCCCCATCCGGGAATCCTCGTTTCCACGCCGGGCGTGTTGTGGGTGGTCCTGGTGACCTTGTCGTAATACAACTTGACATTGTCAATCCAGCAATAGACCATCGGGATGACCAACTGCTCGAGATCCAGCCAGAGATTATACCAATCGTGGGTCTTTTGGCAAATTAAATACGGAGCGCTGGACTTGTTTAGGCGTGCATCCATCTGAGAGCCTCCATCGCCGGGAACTAAAATAAAAATATATGTAACAGTCTCTTATAAATCAACTCGACCTTGGCCAGCAAAAATCAATGGACTTACCAAAAATCACGGGGGATAGCTTAGGTTCAGGGGGCGGTGGAGGAGGTTCGTTTGACCTGTGTTTTGTGAAAAAAGGCCAGGGCCAAAAGCATTCAACTAGACCCAGAAAAGTGGCCAATAGCAGCACCAGAAATATTCCCGATTTGAGCCTCATTGTGCGATGTGCAAATTGCGTTTTGCAGGAGTGACGACTATGGCTATAGCTTATAGGTTATCTGATCGCCTGATAAAGGTCTCCGCGTAAACAAGTGAATCAGCCCACCACAAAGATTTACGATTATTATTAATCATTTAAATAATGCTTTTGTTGTCTGCGCAGTTTTAGTCAGCTGATATTTGACCTTTAAACTCTATTTGCAGAACTTCGGGGCTCGCATTTCCCGCGGAAGAGGTCGTCACGGGACCCAATCATTTATTTAAACAAAGGAATTGGTTTCACGAACATGTTATTGTTGCTTATCTTTATGTTGTTGCACAGTTTGTTATGGTCAGCGTTTATTTTTTTGCCTTTCCTGCATTTTCTTAGTGTGGCCAGGTGAACAAAATTGTGGTTTGGAGATAAGATAAGTGATCTGTGAACTGGTCACGGACTAAAAACACCTGTTAAGTATATAAAATAAATGTTAAAATCAGTTATTTTTAAAATTGCAAAACTGTTTCATATAAACTTTAATTAAAAAGAGAAATTGAGGCGTTGTTAATGGCTAAGTATGAATAATAGTAATTTAATTACAAGGTTATAAAAAAATATTGTACCTAACTACCTTATAATTCACACTAATTGTGTTGATATATTTTTATTGACCCAAATAAGGTACATTTTACCCAAAAATCGAACTTAGATAACCGCTAATTGGTATAATTATGGCATGGGTCATGGCTTTATTTAATATGTTACGGCACTATCAAACACAGTATAAAGATATTTTCCTATAGTTAAGTTTCTTACTTGGGCAAGGTACCTAAGTACGTTGCTAGGTACAAATATTCAAACACTAGTTACCGTTACCGTTCACCAGGGTACTACCCCCATCACTAACTTATCGATTACCCTTTATCGCTGTCCGATTGTTTTGTAAGCACACCACTAGGCGAAGCGCGACCGGCAAACAATTGTTTTTATTTCATATAGCTTTTCCAGTCAAAGCCGGACCAAGTTGAACCCAGATCGCAATGCAGGAGTTCTTCAGCGTGTTGCTGCCGGACGTGAAGCGGGAGCTACGCCGCGGCATCGTCGAGTGCTCCAAGCGGGGTCTGCTGCACAGCACCAAGTGGCTGGCGGAGATGCACCACGGACTGGCCGACGTGCAAATAGATAATGAAGCTCCGAACGACGATCGCACGTTCAGCGAATGCCAGCTGGAGGGGATTGCGCCGGCGGAATACAGTGACTACTTTCTGGCCAAGAGCTACTACGATGTCAGGGAGTACGATCGGGCAGCCCATGCGGTCAGGAACTGCGAGTCCAGCGTTCCACGCTTCCTGCACTTTTACTCCACGTACATGGCGCGGGAAAAGCGCCGACTGGACTCCACCACCGATCAAGCGAATCTCCACGAGCCCAATCAGATGCGTGACCTTGCCGATCTGCTGGCCACTTTGCGCATGGAGTACGGCAAGAGTCGGCTGGACGGCTATGGCATCTATTTGTACGGCGTTGTCCTCAAAGCCCTGAATCTCAACCAGGCCGCCGAGCAAATGCTCATCCAGGCCATCAGACTGGTGCCCATGCTGTGGAGCGCCTACCTGGAACTATCGCCGCTTATCATGGAAAAGAAGAAGCTGCTTAGTCTGCAGCTGGGTGGGCACTGGATGCGGCACTTCTTCATGGCCCACACATACCTCGAGTTGTACCTAAATGACGACGGTCTTAAGATCTACGAGGATCTTCAGGCGTCGGGCTTTAGCAAGAGCATCTACTTGATTGCCCAAATGGCGCTGGTCTATCACAACAAGCGGGATGTGGACAAGGCGATCGAACTCTATCAGGCACTGCTGGAGAATGATCCCTATCGCCTGGACAATGTGGACACCTACTCCAACCTCCTGTTCGTCAAGGAGATGAAGACCGAGATGGCCCAGTTGGCGCACAAGGCTGTGAGCATCAATAAGTATCGTCCGGAGACGTGCTGTGTGATAGGTGGGAATAGTAATTATACTATAAACATTACATGTATTAAACTAATGCATGATATAATATTTTGTACCCCAAGGTAACTACTACAGCATACGCTGTGATCACCAGGTGGCTATTTCCTACTTTCAGCGGGCCCTTAAACTGAATCCCAAGTATCTGGCCGCCTGGACGCTGATGGGTCATGAGTTCATGGAACTGAAGAACACAAATGCAGCCATACAGAGCTATCGAAAGGCCGTGGAGGTCAACAAGCGGGATTATCGCGCCTGGTACGGACTAGGTCAGGCCTACGAGATAATCAAAATGCACTACTACAGCTTGTACTACTTTAAAATCGCCCACCAACTGCGTCCCTACGACTCCCGCATGCTGGTTGCCTTGGGCGAGACATACGAAAAGCTGGACAAGTGCGAGAATGCGGTCAAGTGCTATTGGAAGGCCATCGATGTGGGCGATATAGAGGGCATAGCCATGTACAAACTGGCCAATCTGCACGAAAAGCTCGGCGATCACGAAACGGCGGTCCATTGCTACATCATGTACTGCGAGGACGAGCGGGCGGCCACCGATAAACAGAGTCTTTACCAAGGTTTTATTACGCTAGCGAATTACTACGAAAAAAAAGCGGATTACGAGAGAGCAGCCTATTACGCTTACAAGTGTCTGGACTCCGATGATGTGAGCAGACTTATTTCTTTAATGAGAAACCATAATTTAATTAATCAATTTATTCATATTTTTCAGCGAAAAACGGAGGCAAAGGCTTTGCTGAAGACAATCGACTGGAAGCGCAATGCTGAGTGGCAAAAGAAGCCCAAAACTTCTGCGACAGTGGCGAATGCAGAGACCAGTTCCGAGGATGAAATGGAGTGGGAGCTTCAAGATGTTCGTGTACGTGTGCCCTTCACCACCATAGCAACCACGACGACATCCACAACGGCTGCGACTGCTGCTGCGGGTTCAAGTAGCAGCTCGTCGAACAGCTTGCGTCCGGGTCGATCCGTGGCCGAGGGAATGCGTCGATCGCAGGCCAACAGGATGAGTCTTACACCGGCTGCTAGCAGTACTACAACCACGTCCGCAACGGCAGTCACAACAGCCACTGAGGAGACGCCTGGCACGTCCAGCGGCACGGCAAATCCTCCGGAGCAGCCGCCCTCGGATGATGCCAGCTCAATGGAGATATCCAGCGTGTTCATCGATTAGTTAAATGCGATCGATCCACTTGTATAAATTGCTCTTGTTTTATGAATTATATTGAAAATCCAAGTAAATATACTAGTCGTATCAGATTTGATCAGAAACTATTGGTTCTACACGCGAATTCGTACGAACTATCATCAGTAACTATTAGATCAATATGTAAATTTAAAAAGTCACTGTATTTCAAGAAATAAGATGAGTTCTATTTGGCTTACAAAAAAACTTGATCAAAAGCAATTGGTTCTCCACGCGCATTTCTCCAAATTTGCATCATTTATTAATAGATTCATATGTATGTACATTTGCAAATTCATTTTAAGAAATTACCGAATTTAAAAAACTAGGATAACACATTTTAAATGCAACCAATGTTAATCGAATTTTTTTATTATTTAAAACTCTTGGCTTGCAAATCATGCAAATAATAAACATTTTGATTAAAAAAAGAACACATTTATTAAAAATTGTAAAAGTATTACAAATTAGATGTTGAATCTGTTTCATAATTTCTTCGTTTGTTAAAAATTTCTGTTCTTTGCATTTTAAATAGCTTTTAGGAAACATACAAATATATTCCTCTTGGATCAAAAAAAAAAAATTTATCGCAAAAAAAGATTTACCAAATAATACATTTTTTGTTACTCAAAAACTATTATTGGGTTAGAAAAATCAACTAAAAAAAACAATTTCTCAAAAAATTACAAATTTATGAAACTTTTTAAAAGTATTATAAAATAGACGTTGCGTCGTTTTGATAAATTGATAATTAGATTTAAAAAATTTATTCTTCGGCTTAGAAAAGCATTAACAAAATACAATTCCATTCCAGAACTCTTGGATTAAAAATAGCCTTTTTAAGGCACCCATGCTTACATGGTCATAAATGAGAATTGTAAAATAGTTCTTATTATTCAAAAACTCTTGCTAAATAGGCTTGAAAAGTAATTTTAAAAATACAGATTTAGATTAAAAAAGTATTTATTGATTATAATTTTTCAAAGTGTTACAAAATAGATCGTGCAACTATTTAATAGATTGTTCATTAGATTAAAAATATGTACTCTTAATTTCGTTTCGTAATTTGTTTACTTCGGCTTTTAAATAGATGCATTAAATAGATGCATTTCGATCTCAGAACTCTTGGATCCATCGTGCTATGATTTCCGCCTCCTTCTCGCGGGCATCGCGCACTGAAGGCGGATCCGCAGGATCGCTGTGCCGCAGATCCAGGTGATGGGCTCCCTCCGGCAGGATGATGACGAAGACCTTGTCATTGGGGGCCTGCAGCACACCGCCGCCACTCCAGGGATCCAGCAGGCCATTGCTGAAGATGATGTTGCTGACAGCCTCCAAGTTCCTGCCGCCGTACCGTAAAATAATGTCATATGGCTTGGGCGTGAGGCGATAGTCCTTGTAGCACTTCTCGGCGTACTCCTTGAAGTTCCAGCTGGATGGGCGGAACATGGTTTCGGTGCCGTTGGAGCAGAAAGGCATCACCATTTGGTTGCAGGACTGGACATTCCAGCCCGCATCATCGGCGTTCGAGTTGACGGTTATATCCAGGCACTTGGCGGACCCAGTGTAATTGGTATAGACCGCCAACGCACTGGACATGGCATGCAGTAGATCTCCGTCGCCGGCATGCAAGTCCTTCAGGTAGTAGCACACCTGCCTCACCGGATAAGCCGGCAATGGAGCCAGGAAACTGCTGCTGTACGGATAGTTCACCATGGCCAAATTGCTGTAGACTTCATCGATGTAGTCGAGGAACTTCTTCACATCCGCATCGCTCTTGAGCGGACTGCACAGGTGAAAGGCATCGGATATCTGCTTTTTGCCCGCATCACTACCGCCCAGCATCTCAAAGAGTTTCCACGACTTGCCAATGTTCACTGTACAGTTGGCGTTGTAGGCATTCTCGAACACCGACGTCACAATCCGATAGAAGATGTCGCAATCGGTTATGCCGGGAAACTGGAGAATGGGTGCCGAAGCGGCCAGGGCGCCGGTGACCAAATGCGGATACTTCATCCGGAACCAGGCGGCCAGCATTCCGCCGTAGGATCCCCCGAACGCCACCACGGGCATCTGGCGATCGCCCATTAGGAAAGTGATCAACATGGCGTAATCCTCCAGGGCCTGTTCCACCGTAAACTGGGCCAAGTGCTCCGGCATGCTGGCGTTGAAGGTGGAACTCCCGTAGGGCAGCGACTTGCCATAGTACCGATGCTCCGCGAAAATGACCAGCGCCTTCTGCTTCGCCGCCTGCTCCCACAGGAATCCGGTGTTCTGGGCAAACAGTTCGATGTCCCCCTCGTTGCCCGTGTAAAAAAAGATCGGAGTGCGGGCATTGCTCTTGTCCACGAACGAGTCGTTGTACAAATACCGGATGTTGAAGGTGGCGTTGATCAGGAAACTGAAGTGATCCAGCGGCACCTGGAACTCCTTGATCTCGTACTTGAACCTTGGTTCGGATTTGCAACCCGTGATCACGAGGATTCCCAAAATCGCCGACAATGCAGCTCGCACTATAGGTTCACCCATTTTCGGGGCACAATCGCAATCAGATGACCAATTGGACTCACAAGCTTCTCAGTTCGTTATCTCTAAGCCGGGCTTTATATTATACTTTATATATTTATACAGTGTTACCAGGTGGCAATAGTCTATGGACCCAATGTTTTTTAAAAAATCAATTACCGTACGTTTTAAAACTTTTTTCATTAAATTAATTTTACAACGTATTTTAGTATACAGAATTTTACAAAAAAAAAAAGATAAGAAAGGATTTTACATTCCGTTAATCTTGATCAATTATGTTTGCTTCAATAATAAATTAAAAAATTTTAACAGATTTAAAAACTACATAACTCGATAGATACAGTTATGGGAAAGTTTTCATTTTAGTATCCTACTACATTATAAAAACTTACAATCACTCGACACTTAGAGTATTCTAAAATATAACTTAATTAAATTAGGTTGAAAATACGATTATAATTATTTCTATACCATTTATAGGTCTTATTTAAAAATTTAAGGAAACGATTATTTTTAGGTTAACAAAATTCGATATTTATATACTTATATTGATGTACCTAAATAACTTGCAAAAAAATTAGAAGAGTACTAAAGAACCTGTACAATTTTTAAATAAGTTCAGACCTTAAATAGGTATTTCTCAACACTAGAGTGTGTTATCGATAATTATCGCCAAACAACACAGCTGTCTTGTCCGGCTTATTTTGATTTGAGTTTGATTTGGCTTGTCGTTTTGGAAAATCTAAAAACAATGGATGACAATAGAAGGAATCAAATTACAAGCTTAATGTTGCTAATGAAAGATTACAACGATCGATTTATGCGGAACCTATTGGAGCTGCAGAAACTGGAAGAGGAGTCGACCAAGTTGTTGCTAGTACTTGCAGAGGAAGATCCCATCGGAATACCATTCAAACGAGAGGTATGCATAATTAAATTTATAAATACCTATATAAACTATAAGTCATGAAAACATTACAGCACCCGGATGGTAAATTCTGGGAGCGAGATGTCCCGCAAAACTCAGATGACTTCTTCAAGGATAATTTTCGCATGGAAAGGGAACACTTTGATGAAATTGTGGAGCGTTTTCGAAGTGTGGGAATAAAACAAGAGAGCCCGAATGCAATTGCATTAGAAAAACGCATAGCTATAGCCCTATATGCATTGGGATCATCCAAGGACTATCGCAAAGTGGGCAGATTATTTGGCATTCCCTCGTCGATGGTACCAAAAATCCTGACCGAGTTCTGCAGATTTATCTGCCGCGTTTTTTCCACGGAGTACTTGCCCCCAGAGTTTCTCACCCAGGAGAAACTGGAGGAATGTGTCTCGGGATTCGAGGAGCTAGGCTTTCCCCAATGCTTCGGAGTTTTGGGTAAGTGACTGTTGATTTTCAGATCCATCACAGTGATTTGTAAACATTTTTGCAGATGGAACACACATTGAGGTACGACCACCCATCTCCGATGCCGAGGATTATTATAACATAAAGGGCTGGTATTCTACTATACTTATAGCATTAGTGGATCACAGGTAAATCTCTTATTTCAATGTTTTTATATACCCAAATTGATATGTTGATATCCGCTTGTAGAGGAAGATTTCTATATGTAAATACAGGCTGCCAGGGTCGCTGCAGCAAGTCGCAGATATATGAAGCCAGCACCTTAAAGAAAATGGTGAATTCAAGTGATATTCTTAAGGCCAATTCAAAGACTATCGAGGAAGTCGATGTGCCGGTGCTTTTGGTTGGCGATTCGGCCTTTCGATTCTCAACAGCCGTCATGAAGGCCTACCCTTTTGAAAATAATGGACAAGAGAACGAAATCATTTTTAATGATGCTCATTCTAAAACCAAGAGACTTGCTGAGAATGCCTTTCGCCAATTAAAATGTCGCTTCTCCCGAATTCATAGGGGCCTCGATAATCGCAACCGTAAAGCGACTGGAATTATAATAGCCTGTTGTATATTACACAATTTTTTAAATTGCAAAAATAGCGATCTTATGGATAATTGGAAAATCGATGATAGCGAACGTGCTCAGCCCGAGGAATCCGACAGTTTCACTGACTTTTTGGCAGCTCCGGTAACTATGAGAAACGCCATTTCATACTTTATCAACAAGCAGCCGGATAGATAATAGAGTGAAATAAGATCTACATATGTCGCCGTTGTAAAATCAAATATTATTTTTATATTTTAACTATTTTAGTACGAACAAATAATACTCTGCTGGTTACTTTTACATTAAAAGTAAATTAAAATTAATTTTAATTATTTGTTACAAAATTGAGGGAATTTTTAATGATTTGAGTGCTTAAAAATGGTCTAAAATGTTTTTAACGATATGATTGAAATGATACAAAAGATTTATCACAGAATGCTTCATGTGATTACATTTCAAAGTTTTTTTTTACCAAAAAAGGACCCATAAGTTATATGTTCTTAATTAAATACTTTGTTTTTGGTATTACGTACACAAATATGTGGGCTTTTCTAAGCATATCTGCGAACTTCTTTTGCTCCTAATAGCTTAACAATGCTATAACTTGTCCAGCAATTGCTGATGGAATTTCGCATTGGCCTTTTCCATGCGCAGCATGGTCTTTTCAAGCCGCTCCAAGGAATTAAGCCGCCGACTGGCCAGATCGGTTAGTTCCTCCCTCATTTTTTTCAGTTCTTTGTTGCGTTCTCTTGTGGCCTCCAATATTCCGGCTTCGAAGGATGTCATCTCATCCTGGGAATGTTTTTGCCGCTTGTAAGGTGGCGTAAAGGGCGGGTCATCACAAGGGGATCCCGGATTTGACATCATCTCCAGAGTGCGTTCCCATGATTCCCCACCATCGTTACTTTGAGCACCGTTCTCAATGTCATTGTAATCCAAATCGTCTTCTAAGTACTCCTCTATTCCATTTTCTTCTGCAATTAAATATATGTGTTTCGGATGTCGAGACTTTATTAATCAATTATAATATACTACCATTTTCAAGACTACCTGTGCTTTCTTCTATTAAAGGGCCGTATTTTAGTGGATTTATTCTGCCAAGAATGCGATCAACTCTTTCAAAGTGCCGCCAAGTCGACTGTACTTCTTTGCGCTCTTGCCTGAATTGCAGGAGGTATTAGTACTTTCGAATAAATAATTAACTAATATTGAAGGGTACCTACTTGTATTTTCTGGTTATGTTGTCCAGTTTTGTCCGCACATCCTTCATCTCGACTCCAATAAACCCGGCTTCATCCAATTTTTCAGCCATAGCCCCGCATACAATTGTGCTCTTTTGACCCGCCCGCACAGACGCAATGTTCTCCTCCCACAAATCAAATAGTAATGATTCATAGTATAAGGACCACGAAATCGGTTTCCGTTTTATATATGTCATCTTAATTTAGTGCTATTAATTTCATCTGATTTGCAAAATAAAAGCAAAACAAAGTTTTGTTATTTCTTACAGATGTTATTAGGGATGGACCTTCTACACAAATCAACTTATCGCCTATCGATTACAATTTGGTATTAAAATACTTTAGTTGATTAAATACATGTAGATGCAGAACAAATGTATAATTACAGAAAGTCAAACTCCTAAAAGAACACAGCAAAATACTAAATATAATATGAGTAGGATGTCAAATAAAAAATCTCGGTTAAATTGTTTTTGTTGTACAGTAAAATATAAACAAATTTTAAAAATTAAAGCAGCAATATATAAAATAAATTATGATTTAAGACAAAAGCTTAAGCTTTATTCATTGAACATTTCTTATGAACACCGGTTTTTTGGACTAGTAATAGAATTAATTGAAAAATGACTTCAACAATTTTTTTACTTCTTTGGCACAGGATGTTCCGTAATTTTTCAAACCACTTAATTTTTCTTAAACACCCAAAGCCCAGCCACTGTTATTAATGGAATACCTTTTTTTATACAAAAGAGTTTAAAATTATTTGTTTTACATTTTGTGTTATTTAATTTCTAGCTTGCCAAATTGTTTTGTTACACCCTTTAAGTCGATACTTTAAAATTCAAATTTAATATCCATTTAATTTTGAATGTAAGTTTCAGTTGGCATTTTCACTTAGCGAGATGAAGATTATTGCAATAATCCTATTGGTAAATCTTGGCTTCGGTGAGTACTTTTTAAGCCCAAGATCTTCCTGCCAATAATATGATTTTACTCACAGCCTTAAGTAATAAAGAACAGAAAAGTGAACAGGTTGCACAGGAAATACGAGATATTGTGAAAAAGTATAAACACTCTTCCACTGGAAACGCTGAACTCTCTAAATGGGTAGAAAAACTTTACCATAAGATAAACACCAGACTTGAAATAAAAGAGGAATATCTGTCAAAATTTAAAGTATACGACAGGCGGCGTCAGTCTTTGGAAAATCAAATTACTGCGCGCATAAACACGATCAACCGCCTAAATCTCTTGAATAAAGGTGGTGAAAGATGTGTTAAGTTTTACGAATCTCAGAAAAGTGCACTCGAACGCGCTTATAAGTTAACCAATTCTAAAAAGGAATACATTATAACCAAATATAGTTCACCATGCCCAATTAAATTTATTAAAGAAAATTATGATGATTATTTTTGATTTAATATAACACATATTGTTTGCATTAAATAAAAAATTGTAATGAATGGAATTTGTAATTTGTTTAATAAAATTTGAAAATTAAAAGGTATTTTTAAATTTTTATTTTACAAGTTTAAAATAAATCTTTTTCTGTCAATTTTTATAGCTTAAATCAAAATTAGAGGTTTTTTTTTTTAAATTGAAAAGAAAATTAGTTTTTCATTTTTATTATTTATAAAAAATATCTTTTGTACGAATGGCTGTACTTCTAAAATAAAATAAATACAATATTTGTGATCTATGCTGAAAATCCTTACATGTAAAAAATCACATGTGATTGAATAAATGACTGAATCCATTGTATTTCATTAAAGATGTCTTTTATATATGTATCATTATAGATCATAAATAATAATTTTTTTGTAAAACACTTGTCTGAATTTCAGGGCTTGAACCAATGTTCAAGACATATTTGCATTAAATTTATACTTTCACTTTTAATAT